TCAATAATCATTTGAAAATTTATCTTTATTGTTTAGGTTTTCTAGTATGATTGATTATTTCTTTAGACAAATAAAGTGTTCAGTACTTTTTGGTTTTAATTAGTCATTTAATCAAAGTGAGTGTATGGTTACAAACGACAATAGCCAAGTAATTTGAGTCAAATGATTTACTGAACATAATAAACAGAGATTTTGTTTGGTAATCAACTATGCCCCTAAATGCCCTGGTACGTCAGAGGGTGTGGAGAGTCAGATCTCCCTCTCCGAATACTCTCACATGACCATGAGTACACAGTCACTGTCAGAGAAGTCCTACTCGCTGACTTCTCGTGGCGGGGATGTTGTTTAAGAAATTGAGAAGAAAAATGAATGTCCGGCGCTTTAACCGGGTTGGTGGGCACAGATGGTTCGCCTAGGGGAGTTGGAAAATCCTGATTCCAAATTAGTGGTGCACATGGGCTCCAGGATCCTGAAAGAAACAAATGACGTGTGAACCAATTGTTGGTCACCGGCTACCATGGGACTGCATCTCCTTACGATGCTCCACTGCCTTGTGGGTCAGACGTTCAGGTCGAAGGCTCGGGGTGTGGCCCCCTAGGAAAACCACCTGCTTCGGTCTGGGTACCCGGGCGGTATCATTGCCCATACACAAGTCACGTGGCTTATATGGCGTATGTGTATTCAGTGCCCCTTAGTACCAATATTTATGTGTCCAAATAAATAGAATTCGAATGCATCACGATGATTATCGTTTTCATAATCATTGATGTTTACCGTGTAATGTCTATCAGTTAGTATATTACTTTCAAAAGATTGTTATGTATTACTATAAAATGAAGGCAATGCATAATATAAACTGAACTTACTATATCATATGTATATGTATAACAGTCAAGAGTGGAATGATATTCATCTGCATAACTTCTATAGGCAAAGACAATTTTGCTATAGTATAAATTAATGAATTACTTATCAAATAATCTTGGTTTCATTATGTATAATAATTGATTACAAAGTATAAGTCTTGTACGATTATTGCATTTTCATAACAGTCTCATAAGTGGAACATTTCTCTGAAATATAACAATTAATGAGGATATAAATTAAATTATGTACAACTTATATACATGATACATAGATTGGTTCACAACGGGAATTAAGTCAAACAGAAAGTATTATATACGATGCTACACTACATTGTGGATCAGACCTCTAAGTCGAAGGCTCGGGGTCGGCCCCCTAAGAAAACCACCTGCTTCGGTTTAGGCACCCGGGCAGTATCATAGCCCTCACACATATCAAATGAGATCTGTGTGGCGCATATGTATTTGGTGCCTCCTTGTACCAATACCTATGTGTTAAAATAAAATAAGAATTCCTTTTATCATAAGATTTCATATGGCCTAATGACTACTATTATACAATTTACTATTCTTAAGTTATTCCCAACTTATTAGTTAGTTTTTTATTGAGATCATGAACTTAGCAATCTCCACAAGCTATAAACTGATTATTAGTTAGTGTCTCACAATCACAGCCACTTTTTGGTCATATGTTGTCTAATTGTTGTTTTCTATTATATAGTATGATGCGGTCTGATTTATTTGTACATAAACTGCGTATGTTTGCAATACATGATTCATACAACGAAGGCTGATATTGATGTTCTGGAATGAACTGGGTGGGTGGACTAATAACAACTCAGAGTTTACTCTAGGCTGCTCGTACTGGTTTATGCATCATTGGTCTGGTACAGTGCTAGGTCGGTGTTTTAATTGGTGATCGTATCACGTAATATGATTAACAGGACAAAAAGACATAACAAAAATTAAAATATTAGAACGATTAAAATCAACAAATGAATCTATCATACAATCGATTCTCGATTAAATAACCAAGGTGTCCAAATAATAAGACCTATCGGTTGTTGATAATTCATTCCGAAGCTCAAATAATATCTTACTGATCTAACAACAAAGTTAGTTAATGAATATACATGTAAATTGAAAATCAACTCTGTCATGTCATCAAATTGGTAAATAGTTGTTTTAGGGTCACACTATCAATTATGCACAATTGACTTGAATATATTAAAAAAGAAAAAAATTCTTCATTCGAATTGTAATATTAATTGAATCATCAAGTTAAATCTACTAATAAGGTGTGTATACCTAACAAAAACTGTAGTAATTTTCACGTATATTTTTATTTATGATTTACATGTTTAAACTAAATATGAATCTGAATTACACCAATGATCCAATAAAGCAATTTGATGGTACTTTTGCAGTGAACAAGAACACGAGTGGGGATAACCGAATGTATTTGACACAAACTTACAGAACTTGTTAATCAAATCTAATAATCATATAGTAAATGGTTAATTTGTAAAATGTCCATCAATTGTCTTAAAATGGCTCAGACTTCATTGTTCTTGCATTTCCATACAATTAACATTCTGTTTCCATTCTTTATTGTTCGATCCTCTTTTCTCTCTACTGCCAGACATTCTGTTCACGACTAAATTCATATACTACTTATGTCGACTTAAGTAGCACACACACATCGACTATAATTATTTATTTATAAATGACTGTTTTAATAGTATCAGAAGGGGTTTTATGGAGATTGTAGTAATTTCAATAGTTGAGATCATGAATCGATTGAAGCTAGACCACTGAGCCAACCGGCATCCAACGGTGTTAATGTCTAACTTCAACTAATCCACCAAATTGAGCGACACATTCACCATTGTCTTCAGTGAGTTACTCTTTCACAACAAACTCCGTTGAATTCCACTAGTCACTGCTTCTTACTAGAACTCCAGGATATACCTTTTGAAGCCAGTCACTAATGAGCATATGTTGATTAGAATCAGAAGGGGTTTTAATAGTCACTAACCACCTAAGCACTACGAAATACTATAAAACACAGTCTTATAAAATATCAAGCATTCACAATATAACAGTAATTGTATATAATCACTCGTTACATGTGTTTGTGTGTGATAGCAATCGAAGAGATAAACTAAAATGTATACAGAAATAATGAACGAATGTTGTAAATTTGATCATGTTTCAGAGATATGAAAAGACAATATTTACTTGCTACCAATGTTTTAGAACCAATATCCGTTGGTTGGTTACGATCAGCATTAGCCTATTGTGGGAGAGAACAAACCAGCTTCAAGCTGAAGAATAAATCAGGAAAAGACGTTGGAAGTGGGTAGAACATATATTACGAAAATCACCGAACTGCATCACGAGGTAAGCTCTAATTTACAATCCTGAAGGGAAATAGAAAAGTGGAATGCCCAAGAACACACTACGTCGAGAATTGGAAGCAGATATGAAAAGGGTAAATAGCAAGTGAAAAGGATTGTCCAGAACAGAGTTGGATGGAGAATGCTGGTGAGCGGCCTATGCTCCTCGACGAGGGTTAACAGGCGTACGTAATGTATTCGAACACAAATGTAGTGAAATGATAATAATTTGCTCCCAACTCCAATGATTTGTGAAATTATCAGCTTATAAATATTGATTAATCAAATCAATCCTGTTGGTTAGTAGATCACTTCTATCTAACCGATTGAATATTAACATTCGTATACTCTTAAATACTGACACGTAATTTTCGAAGTATTACAGAATAAGTGATTGACTTAAAAAGAAAGAAATCTATTAAATGAATATCAATCTTAATTGGTAGTCAATATATTTTAGACGGCATTTCAGTAACTACCCATTACAAATTTGTCTGTGAAAATATAGGTAAGAATTTATTCATATTCTTTGAATCCTAATTCAGCATCAACTTAACGACTATGTTTTGTCATTTGATGTACTGATATAATCATGATTCAATTCAAAGTGGTCGGATGAGATGTATTTTATTAAAAAATAAACTTATAGATTCATAGTACTGTGATCGAACATTTGACTGAACAAAGATATTAAAGACTTAGAGTATTTTGTTGAATATACCCACGAGTATGCTACTTGGAAGATGTTTATGTAATTATACTTACTTTTCAAAAAGATTTATTTATTCAGAAGTGGAATAATTTTCCGTATGAATAGGAAAATGTATCACTTACAACAGGTTTGAATCTCAATTAAACACATTTACTGACTATATTCATACATTTACGGTTGAACAGCTCATAAAAACATTACCCGCTTATTTACAAAAGCGGTAGGTTTGAGTGCATTATTTAGACAATTCAATTTATTCTATAGATTGTTGTCCGGTAACACTGACAAACAAATATTTGCTTAGTGATTTATCGATTTCACCAATCTGCTTCCAATTAGTACAAATAATACCAACCTTTTCATAAACAATACCAGAAAATGTAATCGTTCAGTTTTCTCTTTGTATTACTATAATTTTCAATGATGTTTTATTCCAGATGTTTAAAGCATACTTTACTGTGGAGAATCGTTTACTGTATAATGAAAGTTTAACATTGTAGATAGTTAATTTGAAAATCTCATTTCAGCATCTAAAACACATTCTCTTCTGATAGATGAAAACGACTTTATTTACTCCACATAACCTCGTCAACCAATAATTTGAACAATACCATCGGCTCACTAACTAATGGTATTCAATGTCAAGTAGTTTTATAATGATGTTTGGTTATTTTTTTACATCCAACTAACCTAACAGGTATTTCCAAAATACTACGTAGTGTAATCGAATTTTCTATAAATTAGTGAAGAATAAGCACAGATCAAAATCATCGATGAAAAACTTTTCTTAAGTGTTATTGTCAACTATACCAAGCAATTATCAGTGGTAACGCAACGATATTTACACATGTTTGTATATCATGATTGTTAACCTGAATAAGTATTTGAATCATAGTCCATTTATTATACTACTTTTGGTCTTAACTACTCGACTTGCGATGATCATTTTGTGAGTTTGTTTCATTTATGCAAAACAAGTAGATATGTGTTGTCGTTTCATAGAAATCAAAGTACATAAATAAACAGTTAAAATGGTTGAATTCACGTTTATTGAACTATTTCGTAAACAAAAACATACACAAAAGATAAAAATGAAATCCATACTCTTTTAATTACAATTCGATACACAATCATAAAATGAAACGTTCTGCTCACAACATCGATAAGCAAGTATTTACAAGAGGATAATTTATTCAAGTTGACTATGTTACATTACTGAATGAAAATCGAATATCTAAAACAATACAGACAAAATTTCTCAGTGATAAATGAAGCAATGTAATCCATGGAATAGTAAGCCATAACATACACTGGGTAATTTTAATGTGAGTGAGACGTAATCATTCCTGGTGCTTACGTTCACACAGTTAAATCTCAACGAGAACGACTAAGGTTTGGGTGTTGTCCACGGTGAATTCTATTTATGAACGACTCTTGTAGTACGACTTAGCGAATAGGAACTCGAGTCGATTGAATGTCTGTCACACAACACTTTAACATTAGTAATTGGCTTGTGGACACAAATGGAGAAGGGACTTTTAAGATAGTGAGTAGCAATGAAGTATACGAACGAATTAATCGGATTTCGTTTAGGAATACATTTTTGCTGAGCATCTAATGTTAGGTTGTGACGAAAACTTTAAAAACTCAAACATAAGGAATTGTTATTCGTGTTAAAAACTGTTAGTCAAATATCATTGTGTTGCTTTCGAGTTGTGATTCATTTCGTATAACGACAACAAATGTTACTACTGGTACTAATACTTTTACTACCAATAATAATTAGAGTACCTTCACATATATCTCATAACTTTTTCTTTGTATTTCTACTTTTTGTATCTGATGTGTGCTTTATGTGTCTATGCACGTACCATTTTATCCATCTGTTTCTTTGTCTGACTACGTATCATCTAGTCTGAGTTATACTAACACTTGTGAAGAATAATATCTTCAGTGGACTGGTTTGCTTCCTCCACTCTTCAACTCTTCGTCTGTTGGTCGAAATGAATGCATGAAATATAAACATCCGAAAGACTCGTATTCGACGTTTTATTTCCAACTTTACAGTTTCTATAACTGATTATATCTCATTGTGAAATACTTGTTCGCTCTCTCCTTCTGTAAAAAAAGCTTTCACAATACAATTAAAGCAATGTGTTAGTGGTCAGTGTACATCAGTATTCAAACATCCGTAAACTACCAACTATTTGGAAAACGAAATTGTGTACTACAAGTCACATTTCTCTTAATTCGGAGCAAGTATCATTTTTGTTGTGTTTACTATGTATGCATGTTTTAAGTGACATTACTGGTAAAGAACATATATTATTACTATTATTATCATTATATTTGTTCAATATCGATAATTAAAAGTTCTGGGCACAAAATCAAATCAAATGAAAGATAAAAAAATGAAACCCATAGCCCTATTTAAATGAGACCTCAACTACTAGTGTGTTTATATTATGCTTCCAGTTTATTTCGAAAATTTAAACGATAGAAAGATTTAATGTATGTAGAAATGTGTAAAGGAAAAATGAGAAGCGAAGTGTTTGATTATTCAGAACAGAGAAAATAAAGTGTAATAGAAAACTATGGTAGGAAACTTTGCAAATGGAATGAACATTTAAACAAAATCAAATCATAATTATGAGTAAGTAATTTGTGATGGTTGGATAATGTCACCATTATATATATTATATGCAATGAAAATTATGAGTGATAATTGTTAGGAAAGAAAATAAATAGGAATGCAAAAGCTGACGATAATATACGTTATTCCAAGTTTACTTCAACCAATAAATAACGCAACTTTCATGGTAAGAATACTCACAATCGAGGATAACAGGGTAAATCAACTAACCAATTAACGAGGATAGTATTTCTCCAATATTTTTGACGGAATTCGTTTCAACAATTCTTTCGGGAATATACGCAAGAGTTCCCAACCAACGTCTAGTGAGTCGAATACACTACGGTTTTCATAAGCACCTAATTCAATTAGACACAACAGAACATAAAAAATCAGTGAGTTTTAAAACAGCTCAACTGGTTGGTATTTACACGACTTAAGTACTCAAATGAAATGCCATTAATGAAAGCTAAGTAATATTGGTTATCGACTGAATAACTCACTAGTACGAATGTGAGATATGGCTCGTAGCTGCAAACCGGTTTGACTAGGGTCCTCATGATAACTACGATTAGAAGTTGGAGATATTGAGTGATACAGATCAGATGCAATTTTCATTTATCTTTAACCTCTCTCAGTCTTCACATTAGATATTCTGTCAAAACTGTTGTCCTTCAAGTATATCACTTCTTGCTCAATAGTAGTCTTCAGTTATAAACTATATTTGTCAAAATGTCAGCGATTGAAATCAAAATAATCTCACTGTTTCACACTGCAGTTTCATCTGAGCGTCTTCAAGGGAATGATTAAAACTCGAAAGTCCAATCGGACATTTTCACGAGTATAATTTTCTTAGTAATGCTTCTAGTTAACTCGGTGCCCAACAACTTAAAATCTATTAGTTCAAGTTCAAACAATGGTTCACATAATGAATATACCATTCAGGGTTTAGGCTTTTCCACTTTCAGTGATACAACTACTATTTTAACTCATTTATTACTCATCTCGCTGTATTGGTTTCGTATGATGATGTGAGGTGATGAACATTTATGTCAAGCTCCATGTTGATTATAATTGACTGTGAGGCGTGAATTCAGCATATAACCGAATCATGGTTATGAGTTGATGTTAACGACTTCCAAATTAAGTTGGATCGTATATGTAATTTCTTCTCGATTACACACAGAAGTGGCTATTTCTAATACCAAGAAGTTCGAATTATGATGACATTTCCATGAAAGAGATTGTTTAGATAATTGAACTAACCTTGAGAAATGAAATTCTTCTCAAACTTGGTCAGGAATTCTAAATAAAGTAAGTCCTCCGGGCTTAATGCTTCTTCACCAACAACGGCTTTCATTGCTTGGACATCCTTTCCTATTGCGTAACATGCATACTGTTGATAAAACGAATAAAGAGAAAATGGAGGGATCACTTGTTAATCTGTAAGTAATACAAATACGAAGATAAATGAATAGTAGTGAAACTTAGCACCCGTGAAAAAATTCACTATATGGAATTAAAAGTCGTAGTATGTGTGGACCAATCACACTGCGTATAGCTTTTGAAAGTCTAGCATCCGCAAGAATAGCTCAAAACAGAGAATAAATAACTAGAAATGAACAACAGCTCCAATGTAATTTCTTACAGCACCCAAAAGGGAGAGCTTGTATCCCCATCTATCCTTCAGAATCAATTTTCTAAAATAGCCGAGAAACTCATGTACCTCAAAAGCTGTGCGAAAGCTAGCAAAGTTGCAAGAGATAAAGTCAAACATTCCTTTGAGAAAACCAGAGCACGGTTGACAATTGAGAGCTTCACAAGGAAGTTATGTGGGGCTAGGGACGATCAGTTCACAACAAGATCCAAAGTCAGTCAGTCAGCTGCAACGTAGGACCAGGCACGTATATGCATCGGTCCAAGTTGCCATACCGCATTAGCACAAGATGAACACCGGATTCATAGAAGTAGTTAATTCAGTGGTGGTAATATATAGAAGGATTGCATATAAGGAGATAGTACAGGAAGATAGAATTAGTTCGTAGAAAGGAAGATTTGAAGTGATTTTAATCTCTTAGTTTAAAGGAAGACAGATCCAAAGAAATGTTTGCAAATCATAAGTCCTTGGACGGCGTTCAACAGAATACATAATTCAATGATTTGAGACGTTTGTTTGAGGACAGGTTTCTTGTCTTTTAAAGCATTAAATAGTGAATTACAATAAGATGGCTACTGGCTTCAATTGAGGATATCTCAAGTTACTGAGAGGTTTGATCTTAGGAACTTCAAATAGAATCTCGATAGGTTAATGAATATTTTATAAGCATAGTTATTTTTTATAGTTACGGAAGATGGTAACAGATGAACCGTCGCTCTGTTAACAGTTAGTGTCAGTATCAGTTTTTAATGCAAACCTTTGAGACGAGTTTCGCGATGCATTGCCCAGACGATATTTTATGACGATACCATTTATTTAATTATGATCTCCATTATGATCGGAAACGCTCTGCATAATATTAACAATCCTTTCGAATACAAAGAGCAGATATCGTGTTACGGAATTAACCAATGGATAAAAAAAACTATCAATAGCTTCGATTTGATTTTCCAATATACCTGTAAGTGATATTTCACATTTATAGAATTCGTTTGATGAGTATTCAACTGAATAGCGTTATCCTCCATCACATAAACTCCTCAATAAAATTGGTCGTAAGTGTTTCAACACTGACAGCCGTGAATTTTCCACGGTAAATTAAAGAAACTGACTTAGTTTTTAATCACTTCCGTAAGCATACTAACCAAAAATTTAGGTCAACAAAAACTTACCAACTGGTTGGACACATCAGAGTGATCTTCACGAGTCATATTCACACCAATGGCAGATTTCATCAAACGTGATAACGACGGTAACACATTGATTGGAGGATAGATCTATGTGATTTTTCATTTCATACAGATAATAGAAATATTCCCATCAAAAAGAGACATGGTAATAATCAAGTAATGAGTAATTTGGTGTCAGAAAAAATTAACCATTCATTCAAAAACTGCACCAAGATATTTATACGCCACAAGAATCCCCAAATTTGTGTAGGCTGGGATATTCCCCGGGTTTCCAAACTGATGGTTTTCTTAGTGGGTGACCTCCGAACTTTCGACTTACAGATCTAGTCCACGAGGCAGTGAAGCAACGTTATATGAAGTCATATAGCACCCAGTGACCAAGAATAGGTTTTTACACCATTGGTTTGGAATCAGAGTGAACCCTTAGTACCCGACAACACAGCTTAAGCGCCAGACATCCGCTTCTTGTCCTCCCAATTTCGCTAACAACACTCCGCCGCAAAAAGGAAGTCAGCGGGACTTCCTTGACAGAGGGTATAAACGCGTGGCTCTATGAGAGCCTTTGGAGAGGGGAGACACCCCACACTCGACCATACCAGGGCATTTGGGGATTACAAGAAATAACTCAGTTAAGATTCAATATAATCATCAAAAGTTCAGTTATTTATAAAAACGGATTATTAATGATGTATGATTACTAGTTAATGTAACGCATGAAAGTTAATTAATTCTTATTATTATGATTAGATAATTGATGTTTTAAAAACGTTAATAGTACAACATTAATTTTGCATGAAACATTTCTAATGAACTTGATGTGAATAAATTGAATTTTTAAGGTTGTAAAATAACAGTAAGTCCATGTAGCAAAGTAAATGTGTTTGTGTGCATGTGTATCACCGTTCTTAAGAAAAAATAGATTTGTTTATAAAAATTGAAATCACATTGGATAACAAAAATACCAAACACCATTATTACATTTCAGGTTGATGGACTAGTGTGTTGAATTTTAATATGATTTGACGCTTTTAAGGTAAATAATCCTTAAATTTTCGCACTGATATGATTCAAGTCATAACACGGGTTGTCATAACTGAGTATGGTTAGATTGTGGTTAGCAGTAGAATCCATGATGCACGTCTCATTTGACTAGGTAATTGTCAAATGAATTTACCGGTAACACGACAATGATGTTTAAACTTTGATTCAAACCTAGTACCTAACACCCCAAACGCCAAAATGTAAGTCAAATGACTCGCAACTAGGATTAAACGAGTGTTCCAGTTTCAATATCCGGCCATTAAAACTTTGATAAACTAACTACACTGAAGTATGTACTCATTAAACTCAAAGTGTGGTTCGTATAAAAGAATAAACTAATTAACAACCCAATAAGTGAAATACAGTAGTTTTTCACTAACCTGCCTGTTATGTAATTGACGATCAACATAAATTTGACCCTCTGTAATATAACCTGTTAAGTCAGGAATAGGATGAGTAATATCATCATTAGGCATAGTTAAAATTGGAATCTGTGTGATTGACCCTGATCGACCTTCAACCCGACCAGCTCGCTCGTAAATTGAAGCCAAGTCAGTGTACATATAACCTGGGAAACCACGACGTCCTGGGACTTCTTCACGAGCTGCCGATACCTAAACAACAAACATCATATTATAAAAGAAACTGATAGTAAAAATAACTGAAATAATCCTGTGTTGTGAACAGAAACGATAGTTATCCTTTCTAGACCATTACATATTCAAACGTGTTAACAAGTACTTTCTTCAACGTATGTTAAGTACTTCATTCTAACACATTGTCTTAAAAGATGGAGTATGGTAGAGCTGATGATTGAGAATGGGCAGCTGGGTAAGAATACTAAACTGACTTACTAAGCAGACAAAATTATTTGATAAAGGGTCCATCGAAGCAGAAATTATGTGAAGTGAGAATTTTTGAGAACCTGAAAAATGTACTTTGGCTCAAGTCGGTACTTGTGTATAAGTCGAGATCCCAAAGCATATTACTACAGAGAAAGAAAATTGTAAAGTCCGAGAGAAGTGGTAGTAGGTAAAAAAACTTATATTGTGAAAATTGCTTATCCACATATATTGTGAACTAACTTCGAATTTTCGGTTTAGAAATCTATATAACTCTACCTCGCTTCATAATCTTTGTGCAATGAGTGGCGGCTCAAGACTAAAACTTATTCCATGTCTACATAATCGGAAAATAACAATTACCTTCGCAGCATATGTAGCGTATAGTGTGGTAACTCCTACACAATTTTCCGAGTTATTCCGGCACATAAGACTGGACTTTAATGAAAAATTTTAAGGAAAATGACAAAGCAATACGGATCAATGACCGCATACTATAATATAAAGACTACAATTACAATCCGTAAAACAGTTCATGCGGCAATACTGAGGTATGAGCCATCACTCGATTTACGCACCCACGTTTCCATCAGTAGCTGGCAAGTCCAGACTCTCCACTGAGATTATACTTTTATTTAGATTTTATTTAGTTCAAATTACGATACATTTATAGAACACTATTACTTACCTCACGCAATGCTTCTGCATATGAACTCATATCGGTAAGGATAACCAACACATGCTTTTCACATTGATAAGCCAAATATTCGGCTGTTGTAAGAGCGATTCGAGGTGTTATGATGCGTTCGATGGTCGGATCATTCGCCAAATTTAGAAACAGACACACATTCTCCATTGAACCATTTTCCTTAAAGTCTTGCATGAAAAACCGAGCAGTCTCCATATTAACACCCATTGCTGCGAATACAATGGCGAAATTGTCTACATCGCTATCCATAACGCTTTTCCCGGGTAACTTAACTAGACCAGCTTGACGACATATCTGGGCAGCAATTTCATCGTGAGGTAGACCAGAAGCGGAAAATATGGGGATCTTTTGGCCACGTGCAATCGAATTCATCACATCGATGCTTGATATGCCGGTTTGGATCATTTCTTCTGGATAAATGCGTGACCATGGATTTATTGGTTGACCCTGAATGTCGAGGTAATCTTCTGCAAGGATTGCTGGACCTTTGTCTTTCGGTTTTCCAGAACCATTGAATATACGACCTTAAAAACGCCTGAGATTTATGTAAACTAAACATACCTAGCATATCTTCTGACACAGGTGTGCGGAGGATATCTCCTGTAAATTCACATACAGTGTTCTTTGCATCAATACCGCTAGTACCCTCGAATACCTGAACAATGGCCCTTTTGCCGCAAACTTCTAAAACTTGTCCCGTTCGCTGACTACCATCAGCAAGAGTTAGTCTCACAATCTCATCAAATTTAGGAAACTTTACATCATCAAGTATGACGAGGGGTCCATTTACTCCTGAGACAGTTTTATAAGCTGCAAAATAAATTTTAAAAGTCAACTAAGGAATAGCAAAAAAATCGACTCTTCATTATGAATTTGAGGCCAGTGTACATAAAGAGAACTAAACCGAGACACCAAATATAGTGTTACATACACTTAAAACTTGTGTGATATTGTGAATAATGACGACGAACATTGGAATATACAAACTACGATTCATCAACCACTATAAAAACGTTACTCGAAGTAGGGATTATATACTTTTTAAATACACTGCGTAATTACGAGTTCCTATTCCTCTATGATCGTATTATTTTTATTCGTTGCTCATAAGTCGGAACGACTAATTATTGGAACTTATAGTTCCTATTAAGCAATCACAGGGTCAGCCGAAATGCAATTGCTGTAAGTTCCCCACACTTAGTTTTTTTAGATTTCTAACTTTGGGAGGTTTAAGTAATACAAAGTGACTTTTACGGGTTATAATTGGCAAAATGACACACGTGCGGCTAATGTAACTACAGAATATAGTGTAGGATACATGTAGGTAAGTTTTATCCACTTGCTAAAACTTTTGCAAGACTTTTAAGACTGACAGAGAGAGCGATATGGGTTGGAGCCAAAGGGGCTCTACTACAAACGTGCATAAGTAACATAGAACGAATGTTACTTGAACTGTCATTCAACCATGATCCTTCAAGCTACGAGTGATTGAGATTTCCAGAGAACAGCTAACAAACTTAGCGCATATCCACCTAAGAATTTCGTATCAAGACCTTTTTCTCTGATTTTATTAGCTCTCGTGATAAAATCTTGCGTCACAGATAGTTTCTTGAAGCTACACTGCTAGTATTAAGAAAACTGTGGCACATCCACAAACTCAGCAGTAATATACAAGACTAACGCAAATAATCAAAATCTTTAGTATCACAGAGCACCTATAAACCTTTGTATTAAAGTGGAAATGACTGGAGAAGATTCGTACAGACGTCCTGACTATCAGGAATGAGAAATTATAATTTCTCATATATGACTGAACATTATTAATAAGAAATAATAAACTATCATCGTTGGTACTGAGCTCACTTATACGAGGCTGTGATATGTAGTCTCTAGAAACGGCTTGTGAGTGAACAAAATTTGCTGCCTTCCGATCCATCTTCATTGCCAGATCATAAACGAAACGTCTCCGTAATACGCGCTCTGCAAACTACAGTGTATAAATTCCCCACACAATATTCAATATCTTTGGAGGTGAGTTAGCATAAAATAAACGAACTGTTTGTGCTTTCATCATGACATCGGGAAAGTGTTTAAGCTTCTGAGCAGAGTTCAAAGAGAGTTGAAAAGCTAAAAGCCCAATGAACATCAGAAGTGATCAAATGAATTCGGCTGTCAAGGTTTTGCATTTCACTACTCTCGTTCTCTACACAAAAACACGTATTAGACCGTTTCAAACGTTGTTATTGCATACGTTTAAGAGTTTAGCTTCTATAAAAAGACAGAGGATTGTCAGAAGAACTTCAAAGAGTCTCAACACCATATAATAAGACACCGTCTAGGTTGAACGCGTCCATCTTATTTTAAAGATCTGGTAATGCGTCCCAAGATGTAACAGATATCCAGGGCTTGACAATGCTCTGACCTGTAACACCTCTGGAATCAAAGGTCCCAAACACGGTCAAACCAGAAGTTTTAATGGGTGAGTTAGAAGATAGTCAGTATGTAGAGAAGTGTGTGAACTAAGCTAACTAGATGTTATGAGAGTTTTTTAGAACAGCATATCCAATAGTGATCTGAAAAGGACGTGTGACCGAGCACCTTCAGCTAAGACTTATCCAGTAAAGCTAATCAGGTCAGTATTAACGTCAAAGACTCAATAAACCATTTATCATGGGGAATTACAGCTGTTTCGAGACTAACACCTCGTACTGGAAGAAAGTCTACGTGCACTACCATCTACGGTAACTCACTTGCTACGCTGTACCTTATCGGCACTGGACAAAGATTCAAAGGATCAGTTACTCGCATCTCAAATCCTTGAGTGGACAGGCGTTTAAAATTCTAAGCATGAGGGACTACTGCGTAGGAATGAATGGTGTGGAATACAACATAGTCTCATTGTAATCAAAGGAATAAGATTTTATCAGAGAAATTCGGGCAGTGATTGACCCGAAGTACAGAACGGTGACCACTAAGCGTGGACAATCAATCATATACGAAAGCAGTGGTATTGCCGATGTACAAACACCAACCATAAGCCAAAAAAGGGCATCAGATATTGAAATGATCGTGATAAAGTATGGAAATTTATTCACTAAAACCGAGGAAGCCTATGAGTTTTGTGACAAAGTGACTCACAAAATCTCAATAAAGGGTCACTGAAAGACAACATTTTATAGGCGTCGGATTCCTGTTCATCTAAGAAGTGAAGAGAATAGTATGGTGGAGGAAATGTTGAGAAACAGAATAATTGCTAAACCAGATAGTCTATACAATTCACATACTTTATTAGTAAAGAATTACAAGCGGAAATATAGATTCTGGATCGACTTCCGAGAGCTAAACATGACTGAACCAAAAGCATTCACATCGCCCACAATGGTAGAAACGTCAGACCGCCTGCAGCAAGTCAACGTGTTTACGTTACTAGATTTCGGACAAGATATTACCAATAAAAGCGTGCAAGCGGTACGAGACAGTGACTAGTTTCTGGCAGAGACTGTACAAGTTTAAACGAATGGCATTTTGTCTTGCAGTCTACTTTCAGAAACATGATGGAGTCATTACTTCGTTATCTTATGAACATCAAGGTTTATGGATATGATCTAGTTGTATACAAACATGATGAAGGGGATGGTACTAAGTCAATCCCACATAGGTTATTCTAGCGCCCGTGCATATCAATCTACTCATCCTTCTCAAGATACACTTAAACTTTGTTAAATATTTGCCTATCAAACTTAACCATTTATGCAGGCATATGTACGTGCATTTATTTTCTTACTCATCACAGGTTCGTAACCTAATATTTTCTCATCATAAATATCTATTCGCGCTTGGTTGAATCGAGTTAGCTCACTCGCCTTCTCCACTGTTCATCATTTTGTTCTACTTAGCCTTCCGATCAACGATTGCACAAAGTGCACGCATTTAAAAATTCCATCATCCGTTATTCACCGACGCTATTTAAGTCGATGTTTATATTCCAGAAATAGCGACATGTATTTCTCAATGGCAATCAGTTATGCGATGTGACTGGAGTCAGGTCACGCGCCACGAAAATGGTGAGTCCACCGAAAACGAACCTAACGCAACAAATTACTTTAATGGTAAACCATCCACATTCCGTAATTTCACCGAATGAACACAACATAGATTACTCAGTCGACGACGTCATCGATAATATCATCATACTGTAGTGTCGGCTGCTATGTTAAGCCCATATACCTTATTCTAGCTTCTGGACAAGCAAATTTACCCGGTCTTCTTGTGTTACGTTTTCACCTCGTTATTTATTCGCCTAGCAACCATGACTTTTTATATGAGTGTATGTGTGTGTATACTTCTTACCCTATTCGTCACATATCTGCTTAACCATACCTTTTGTTCCTCAGTCTTCCTCGCCTGAGCTTTTATTATGTGATTTTGATTAAGGCTAGTCTTTGGTTACCTAATTTTCTATTGCATGTTGCCGGACTATTGACAGTAAGGTTACATTGAAAGGAAGCAGAGTATTGTCAGAAAATTGAAACATTTAGTCATTTGACTGATCAAACATAAAACTATGATAGATCCGTTATTGCAGGAAAGTCAACAATTACATGTGTACATACTTCTTATGATATAAACAGACTTGTTACAACAATCGATAGTTATATTCAAACGTCTAACCTCAGTGAATAGTAATAGTTGATCATTCGAAACGCTGAATAAGGTAATCGTTTGATTAAACAAATCCAAATGTAGGATTTAATTTGTCCGACAGTTATATACCAGAACTGTAAACGCGATACCGACGATAGCAGAGTTTATATGAAAACCATAGTCAGAATATGGACAACTTGGCTTTTTAAAAGTAAAAATAACAATTTGATTAGCACAATAACTAAAGAAGTTATAGTCATTAAGTGAAATGCACGAACATACCGACCAGTATTGCGTGTATTATACAAATGAATAAAAATTATGAGTCACATCAATATAACAGAATAATAATGTCTCTTAATTGGCACATCACATGCAACAGAGATAGTCTGCAGTCATATCAAACCAGACTGACGTGGTGGGCGTTTAAGTAACTATCTGATTGTTTAGTGATGGACATAAGTAACAGAAAATGCAGCTGGTAAAAGGGGTGTTTCTTTTAATTTGGCTCCTTAACAAGGCTCAATGATAACATATGATTTCTGTGGAAAGGGAATAAAATGTGTGTGGCATATCATACAGTAGGTATTTTGTATTTATTCTTTAATAAATCCATCTTTTTATTTCCTCTCTTTCTGGTGGACGTGCTGTTCATTAATTGCTCATTGAAACATTTAGATCGATATTTAGAATTGAGGTTATGTTTTCACGAGGATGAATAAGATTTTGAATGTCATCAGCTCTTTGACCTTTATTGTTTTGTGAAAAAACTTCAGAAGTCCCCAAATGAAGCATTAGTTAACTGGAGTATTATTGACTTGAGACACTGTAAAATTACAACGAATTATTCTTAAGAACAATTAGAAACCTTCACAATACATCAGGACAAACGATTTGTTAACAAGCCAATGTGGGAATTGTTGAAAAAAATATCTTAGGATTATGTTAATATTAACAAATTTCCCCTATGAATGAACCGCAAGAACTGATTGTGGCGTATCATGCATGCATGCATGCATGCATGAGGATTTGCGTTCTTTAGAAGCTGCTTTAGATAACGTACAGCTCCGGGATTACTTGTTAAGTTGTTACAAGTAGTTGAACAAATTTTAGATGGGAGGATTATACGGGTTCCTGTGTGATGATCCTCGGAAATCAGAGAAAGCTTATCTGAATTACGTGCTTTTGCCGGAACTGGCGAACAATTACACTTTGCACGGAACCCATAGTAAATTTGGTATTAGGAAGTACAAATTTTACTCAACCGTTCAAAGTAAGTACACTCTATTGCATTAACATATTGATAGGTGTTCTCTGTTCCCATTTTCGAAGTGCGACCTGTCTGAAAAAGGATTTAATACACGCCATGGGTACAGCAAGCCAGGCTTTCTTGCATGACGCAAGAGATAAAGTTAATAAACGTGGATGGAGATCCAAAGAGAAGGTTAGCCAAAGCAATAATACATATTGCACTTTTATTATTACTTTGTGATCAATGTTTATAGTGATAAAACCTTTGTTATGTTCCTCTTGTTTTCAGCTGGCTTCACAGGCTTTATCTGACGTAACTGTAAGTTATTTTTTCTCATTATTGACAGCATTGTCATACTGTTTGTACACATATGTTCACATGTGATTGTAAACTAAAAAGTCTTTTCATTTTTTTAGAACCTACCAAATGACAGTTCAACTTCTGCGTAACGTGTTACACTAACAGAGCAATGAAAAACGTCGTATAAATGAATAACGTGTAATTTTATTAACTATAATAAACATTTAAATATGTCAAAAATCAGTCTTTTAATGAAAGCGATAAATCGATTAACGTTAAGTTTCTTTGGCAACACGTAATTGACGAAAAATAATGTAACATCCCAGTAAGAAACGTATGTATGTATTCTCGCTAGGTTTTCCGTGATGTCCGCAGACTTCGGCATAAGTTTTGCGTTAAAACGGTTCTGTGAAAATACCCCAAAGTGTGGGGAAAATATGCTAAAGTTAGGGGAAATTTTGGGGAAAAACCCAACGTTTGGGAAAAAACCCAAATTTCGGGGTTTTTGTGCCATTTTCCCAGAGTTTACTATAGCGGCTTCCCCAAAATAGGTCAAATGTTCCCCAAAATTGGGAGCTTGGGTGGTTAGAAAAATTTGTGATTTTTCCTAAACCTAATGGCCCGATCAAGGTTGTTCAAGTTTAGTATCTATAATCAGGATTCGAAAGAAGATGAAAAACATTAAAGATGACTAAAAGTATCATTTTTTTTTGTTTATTTTGGTTTCAAACCCTCAAATACCCTGGTACGGCTGAGTGTGGTGACAATCCGCTCTCTCTCCAAATGCTCTCACATGACCACGCG